TTGACGCTTATCAATCACGGTGAAAGTTAACATTCAGCAAGTTCCGGCGGTTGGAATGTCTCATTACATGTATATGGATATCGCGGTGGACTTGAAATAGGAAGTTTTTTTTTATCCAACGACAGAAGAATAGTTTTCATAACAGAAATGCAATAGCGGTGATTAAAGATGGTAAAGAAGTTGACAGTCTTCGGCGTGACATTGCAAAATTGCTGGCCCCAGTTATGGATTCGCAAGCTGCTACAAAATATTTTATAAAGCGAAAATAATGTAATTTCAACCACTCTCCCAGGTACGCGTTGCTACAATATTGCAACATTGGTTTCATTGTCGATGACGCTAAAGCTGAACGAGTGCGACACTTGCTTAGCGGCTCTTCTTATACGATTTGCTTGAATCGTTTTTTAAGGAAGCACAAACCAAATGGCCGGCCATTTTTAGGGCAACGACATATTTCAAAAAGAGAACTACCGTTTCTGCTTTAATATATATTCTTATAGACTTGCTGACTGTTATGATTCTGAAAAAAATCAGCGGTGAACGCGCTGCCCTGAAGGCAGAAAACTGTCACAGCTATTTTGCGTTCACCCCTTGTTTTACGCAATTAACACTTGAATTTTTATAAGCATCACGACAGACTTCAAGAAAGTCAACTGTTAATACAACCACAGTCAATGAATAGAAAATATTTTTTTTGTGTAGAAAAAGACCCCCTGGGCGGATATGACCTCAACTTCTTTATTGTGTCAAAAGTGGGGGGTGGGCGTTTGCCCAGTCATGGGCTCTTACCCGCATAAGTACGGTACATGTATTCAAAATGGCTGATTTTGAATGCTGTTCCAGAGCAATATCTCTCAATATGGACAAGTACTTGTTTGACGATCAGATACAAATGTCAATCATTTTAATGTTAAAAAATCATATTCCTGACATGGTTATATTACTATAAACAAAACTATATATCTTAAATTTGATAACTAACGGGGACTGTGCCATGCATGGCTTGTTTATTCTAAGGTCATTTCTTGGAGAGATGTACTGCAAAATGTGTATGGATAATTAAATGACTCAAATTTTGTTTTTTGTTTTATTTCTGAACCGGAACAAACAAAAAATTGTTTCAAACATTATACATGAACATTTTACAACGATACAATAATCAACACATTAGAAACTAATGCAATATAGATGTTGGTCACAACTTTCTATTGTCCTTAAAGTGCTACAGTAAATATGACGTGACATTTCTGCTTAAAACATGTATGACTCCTATGTGATGTGTGCAGGGCATGTCAATTACATTATTTACTTTAAGATTGCTGTGTGACGAATTTTGCGCTTTAATATTCCCCGGGAAGTACTTGGACAGCACATAATAGCATCTAAGAAACCTAAACTCTTGTGTATTGATATATCTCTGTATTTTATTTACAGGGAATATGAATATCACGTCAGCAAAAGAACGAGAAGTCGTACTGTCCAAAATATATGAATTACTTAATCCTTCAGCCAATCACGATGAAGACCAGTTATTAAGTAAGTGTTATCAACATGTATGTATGTTTTTCACGCAAAGATAGAATCTACCAGTAGACACTTTGGTTATATATAACCTATTGTGTAGTATGATACGTTGGTTAGCATGTCCTCCCAGCATCAGAGAGATTGTCGGTTTAACTTCTACAGTGGGCTGCCTTCCCTCTCAGGAGTAGATGCTGTACACTTGCCAGGCTGGCAGCATTTAGTGTTGGGATTATACCATCCAGTCAGAGAGAATGTAAAACTATTGGTTCCTTCCACATGCTGTGCATGTAAACAAAAATCGCAGCTTTTTCGTTGCAATGAATAGTGAATTACCACCTGAAACTTTTTATAATTTGGATCCTGTTGAATTGAATTTAGTCTAGATACTGTAAAATACTTTATTTTCGCTTGGAATCAATAATTTTCGCTATTTTCACTGAAGGAATGATTCAGTGAAAATAAAATCCAGCAAATATACCTAAAATTTCCTATATTTTACCTTCAACTCGTCAAAAATCAGTGAAAATACATTCCATACAAAAAAACCCAAAGTCCATTAAGCGAAAATTAATTCCAGCTGAAATAAAGTATTTCGCAGTAGTTGCTCTTGAAAAAAACAAATCATGACATCTGTCCACTGTAGTTACAAATTACATCACACAAAGTTACTGTAAACTAATTCATGGATAATCAATACTGATTCACAAAAACATTGAAATTTTTCTCATTTTCATTCTATTATAATCTATTAGCAACAATAAAAAAATAATGGTCATCTATTTTATTTTCTGAGAAAATCATATGTTTACATGTATATTACACAGGCTTTATGAAGAAAAAGTATAATATAACCATTTAAAATATCCAAAAACACTTGTTTCTATTTCTGTGGTAACAATAGTTGTAGGGTTTTCGTTCTGGAAGCCATTTTGAAAAGTAGTTAAACAAATTTTCATGTATAGCTGATGTGAATGGTATATAAATGCATCTACAGGCAACCTGTTAAAACCTAACTTGTTCAAGTCAAGAATGGTTTGCATTTTGCTGATACTTCAAATATTTTTCAAACTTGTTTCAAACTCAGTGTTGCCAAATTGTAGAAAAATCTTATAAAATTAAAATGATTGCTGTAAATCTTTTTTTTTCATTTCCACCAATGTTTGCAATTTGATAACCCTCACCAGATTTCCAGTGAAACAATTTCTCTAGTTTTGCTGAAATTGTTCTCATGAAGCGATTTACGGTTTATTAGACATTTAATGTCCATCTGACCTGAATGTTACAGTATGTGTACGTCGTTTAGAGAGGTCAAAAATGAAATAAAAAACAGCTGTTATGCCATATCCTAGTTGGGTGCATTGATTTAATATGTCTCATTACCTATGATAGATGTACTCATTTATCACTGTATGGTAATTGTCATTGTAACCATGGTATTACCCTCTCATTTACTGTGTTCGGATTTACTGTGTTCAGACTACACTATATAGATGCATGTCATTTTGACTTTATTTGTAGAGCATGGCCTATTAGGTAATACACCTTTCTTCCAAAGGGCCATCCATTTATTCCCTGTTCAGACACAGTCTGCACATTTATTTGTTGGACCAGCAAATTCAATATGGCCGAATGACGGTCATTTACTACAGCATGTAATTTGTTTCATGTTCTGTTTCAAAATGGCTGACTCATTTCAGTTTTGTTTGTTTGCTTGTCACTATTAAAAAATTGTCTGCTCTTATATTTACTTGCATATTATGTCTATTATGTTTGGCTTGACACATCTGCCCTCAACATTACAACCTTTTTGATATGCATATCTTATTTTTGTTATTAGTCCCCGCTTGGACGAAGTCCGAAAACGGGGACTTATAATTCAGTCTCTGTGCGTCCGTCCGGAGTCATATCTCAGAATCCCTTGGGCCGATTCCGTACATTCTTTGCATGTGCCTAGTACTTTATGTGGGACATATGCACATGCAGTGGTTTAGCGATTCGATTCAAAATGGCCGACTGGCAGCCATCTTGTTTTTTGAAAATGTTGTATTTTGGACATGCTTTGTCAGTTTTTATTCAAACTTGGTACATAGATTATACATCTTAGAATACATGTCCATGACGATTTATTTCGCAATTGGATCAACGATGGTCGACAGGCAGGCATCTTTTTTTGTTGTTTTTTATGCGGTATCTTGGACATACTCTGTCAGTTTTCATTCAACACATACATGTACTTTAAACATGTTAGGATGCATGTCCATGACAGTTTGTTTCAAAATCTGGTCAAGGATGGCCGATTGACAGCCATCTGACTTTTTGGCCTTACTACTATATTTCAACAATTTATGTACCATTTTTATTCGTATTTGTCACATGCATTATACATATCAAAGATGGCCAAATAACGGCTGTTTTTATTTTTATTTTTGACAAAATTTGGTCAAAATTGATTTAAAAAAAAATAGCTTCTAAATAATGCTTCTGTTTCCTGTCAAAATTGGTTTACGGGTACATCTGTTTACTATGACGAAAGTGTAAATTAACACCCAGACTAGTTGTCTGTATGATTGTTGTAACACTGTTCAACCAAAAACAATGCCTCGACGGCATTTTGAAGATAAACACATTGTCAATCATTTGTGAAAATTTCAAAAGAAAGGGTCAAAGCGTCTAGGAGCTATTTTTTTTAAAGTTCTGGGATGTGCACTAAAACGAAGCTGAGATAATTGCTAATTTGCATAACAATTCACTCAGTAAGAAGTTTGCTAATGCTCATAATTAAAATGGCTGTAACAGTTCCAAATTTAAATGTATTATCGTTTGGTAAAAAGTTAAATATAGTGCATAATATGGAGATCCCGTCATTTCTTTTCACCATGTTTCTTTTTTATTATTTATGTACAGCCTTGCTAAATCTTGCTAAGCATTCAAAAGAGAGAATGTTTGCACCTGTTATCTATATTTTAAAATCGGTTTTTGAGTATGTTCCACTATTCACAATTCTACAAAATTTTAACAGTC